CAAACCCCCCCCCCCCCTCTTACTTAATTGGTCTTGTCTTCTTCCATATTAATAACATTTCTCTCTACTTAAACCCCTTTGCTCTTTTCATCACTTGGTTTCTCCGCTCAGACCACCTTGTCTCCATTGGAGAACGCCATAGAGACCATGGAGTCCACCAACGAGAAGATTCTCACCATGATCAACCAGTATCAGGCTGACTGGACCCTTCCCATCAACCCTCTCTCCATGCTGCTCAATGGCATTGTGGACCCAGCTGTCATGGGCGGCTTTGCCAAGTATGAAAAGGTAAAGAATCAGCCCTTTCCTCCCCACTTTATAGCTTCTGTTCTGGATCAGATAATGGCCATTGTCATATAGATTCTTTCAAACTAATATAGGAACAGTTTATTATACCTATCACATACTCATGTATTAAGGACTATCTGAGCTGTAATGATGAAAATCATTATCATCTCCTGAGGCTTAATTACAATAAAATTGCATATTTCATTAAATGCAAAATGTTATCCATAACCAGAAACATTGTTAGTATTCATTCTCCAACACCATTCCGTGATTTCATTTCCCACCCAGGATAAGATCAGTGAGCTTGAATGTGCACATGTGGATGGAAAAGTCAGTCATTCATTAACAAACTGCCTGGGTAGGTGAAACCAAACGCCAGGATTCTTTCAATTAGTTTAAAATGTTTCTTTGTATCAGGCGTTCTTTACCGAAGACTTCACTCAGCAGCACCCGGAGGACAGAGACAAACTGCTGCGGCTTAAGGAACTCATCGCATGGCAGGTACTGAACACGCTAACCCACACTTCACATACACACCACATACTCTAGATGAACGTTCTGTTGACGCCATAATATTTGTATTTATAGATCCCTTTACTGGGTGGTGGGATCGCTCTCCATGGCAAGAGAGTGATGGAGGCCCTTCGTCCTTTCCACGAGCGCATGGAGGAGTGTTTCAAACAGCTGAAGAAGAAAGTGCAGAAGGAGTACGGAGTGAGAGAGCTGGTAAGAACAGGGGAGATGGAGAAGGAGAGCTGACAAAAAGTATGGAGAGATTATTTACTGTACTCTGTAATCCAAGATGTGTTTTTTTCTGCGAGGCTGGACACAGATCTACTCTGGTAGCACTGCGCTAATTAAGCTGCAAATGAGCTGACCGAGACAAATTTGAAAGATCAAAGTACTCACAAAAGCCTTCAAGTGTAGTGTTGATATGGGATTTGTACCTTTTAAAATTTCTCTACAACTAGGGCATGGCTCAGATGATCTGACTGGGGCTAAATGTGGTCGTTAGCTGGTGTAAATAGACTGGGCCCTTCAGGAGAGATTAAGCTAATGATGGGTATGGGGGTGCTGGGCTAAGAGTTCCTTGCTTGTGCTTTCCCAGCATTTTCTAATGATGTACGTCTGCTTTGTTTCACTGTCTATGAACCATGCTAGACAGTGAAACGAAGCAGAAGTACAGGACTACTAGTGCTTTTCATGTGTAATAATATTCTTGTTGAACTCTATTTCTAGCCGGACCTGGATGAGAGGAAGTCCACTCGTCCTCGCTCCATGCTGCGCTCCCTTCGTCAGTCCATCATCTCCATCTCCTCACTGCAGGGATCTGAATGTGGGACTCCAACCAAGCTCCATGCAGACAGGTAGCATACACATCCAACCCAGACACTGACATTGATAAACTCACAGTTGATGGCGTTACAAAACATGTTTATGTTTCACTTACAATAAATATGAAATCCACAGTTTTTCCACTGCACTATCACATCAGCCTATGTCTCCCATTTATGTAGGGAACAGCTGTGTTTGATTTATTGTACACAACTTAAATCAGCTTTTTCTCAGTGTTAAATGAAATGTTCATTGAAAAAATGGCTTTCAATCTGTTCTTTCTATATACCTTTAAGCTTCTGTAGTTGAAGAAGCTGATTCTTTACACTAGTTTTCTGTTTTGAACATTAGTATTCAATTGTGGAATGCTGTGAGCACGCGTTGTGGAGGGTGTTCATTATGTAATTATGTTATTTAATTATGTTTGTGATCAATTATGTAAAGAAAATGTAAATACGAAACATTTCTGTTAAAGCAATGTGTTACATTTTTCTTTAGTTTAGTCTAGTTTAGTTTTATAGGCAAAAGGTCAGGTGTATTTCTCATCTCACATTAGGGCTGCTCGATTATGGCAAAAATCCTAATCTCGATTATTTGGGTGAATAATTGATATCACGATTATTAAAAACGATTATCCATTTACTTTGAAAACATCCATTTATTGAAAAATGTATGTATTTTAGTATGTTTTTAACAGTTGATTACCCTGAACCTTAAGTATAATTCAACTGAAAAACCAATAAAAAAATAAAAAAATTTAAATAAAAATAATCGTTTTATTTCGATTATGTTATTTTCATAATCGTTGCAAGCCAAAACCGTAATTGTGATTAAAATATGATTAATTGAGTAGCCCTATCTCACATTGCATGTTTTTTTTAAATCACTCCAAAACTACCTGGATATGAAAAACCAAGAGTTAACCTCTGACTTCCTGCTCACCCCCTTCCTGCCTCCTCACAGGGACTTCCCCCCCGAGTCCCCCACCTCCGGGAACTTCACCCTGCCGCGCTCCAGTGGCAGCATGACTGGAAGTATATCGGAGGGATTGGTGACGGTGGGTGATGCAGAGGTCAAACTGAGGAAGAGTAAGAAGAAGAAGAAGAGGAGCAGCATGATCTTCATCACAGAGGAAAGAGAAAGGATTCATACAATGGATAACAAACGGGTGAGAGGATGATCCCGGGAGGAAAGGATGAGAGAGTAAAGGAAGTAAAGAAGTGAAAAGACAGCAAGAGCCGAGTGTGTGAGGCGGTGCTGAGCTTTGTTTGATCTCTGTCTCCCTCTAGCTGTCCAAGAAACAGGAGTTCCGCAGTGACACCAACCTGTGTGAGCCGAATGAAGGAAGCGTGTCGCTGACTAATGCCAACTCCAGATCCCTGCCCGCCATCACAGGTAATCACAATGTCTCATGGTGCCTCATAGTGAACTGTAGTTAAACCAATGAGCCAAGAACACATAAAGTAAAAATAGAAATGCACGCACTGAGAGGAAGTATTGCTTTTTCCCTGACTGAAGGGAAATCGTGCACAAGGTCATGGCAGGAATACAAACAAATTGGCAAGCTGGGGATTGTTGCAGTAATAGCCTGACCTAACACCAACCCGATGGAAGGTGGCAAATTAGGGAATCAGTCATGTCGGTAGTAATTGTTACAGAACTAGGTGGCAGTGCCATCTAGTTTATATTTCATTGTTTCGGTTACATGACCCTGCGCCTTTTCACAGTGCATCAAACTACAAATCACTGTTTCTCTGGCTTCCTGCCATCTTCGGCCAGCCAAGCTGAGCCAGCATTGACTCTGGTGTTAATACTGTACAACATCTCTGTTTAGCAGCGCTGGCTACAAGCTGTACAGCCTCGGTGAACATACACACAGTGCCACCGTGTTGCCAGAGAACACAGTTAATCAGTATTACAGCTGCAGGAGCACAATTAGTCACTTTAATCGGCCCTGCTGCAGGAGGAGGCAGAGGTTTCTTTGTAAGCTGCTAATCAATGAGACACCGACACTAAATCCTCAGTTGTTGCTCTGTGTAGGTCTGTCCTTGGCGGTGGTGGCTGGAATGGAGGATGTGGACTCTGTCAGAGCAAGGAGGGACAGTAAGAGCATGTCTGTCTGTGGGACCTCTGACAGAACAGCAGACAGGCGCTCAAAGGGCGTCATCAACCTCATCTTCAAGTCCAAGGTGAGTTCAAGTGTTTAATTTCAGCTCCACAAAGAAATATCAGGTTAAAATGTATTAACGGGACTTGACTAGCGATTTAATACTTTTGAGTAAAACACTTATCCATTTTCTTGCCAAGTCTGAAAGGGGAGGGTCTATATCACTCTGATGTGTGTATGTTAAATATATACCCACAGCCAGGGAAAGGTTAGCTTGGAAACGGGTGGAAACAGTTAGTCTGGACCTGCATAATAGTGAAAAGAGAAAAAAACTATACTTTGGTTAAGTATGCTAAAGTAAATGACCATTCCAAACTATTTGAACAGGATATGTATTGTTGACATAATCCATTCATTTTTACCCATAACTGGGAGTAACCCTGTATTTACATTATGCATGTTTGTTTGTTTCAACAGAGCTCCAAATCAGAGAAGATGTGAAGCCCGGTGACTCAGCCAGGCAGGGCCAATCATTTATGAAATGCTTATTTTTGTATTTTATTTTAACTTTACTTATCTTTACGCTTTTGTTAAAGTAAGTTCACATAAATCTGCAAGCAAAACCAAATGATGCTCTCACTCAGTCAGTCAGTCAGTCTCTCAGTCTCAGTATTGCTGTTGCCTTAATATAATTGATTGTGTCTGTCAATAAAGACTATTTTTGTGGTGTGACCTTTCTCCTGGTAATTCAAATGATTTCCAGTGAAGCTAAATACCATCTTGCAGGTTTTCAATCAATTCCGCTTCTTCAAGAACAAGCAAGCACAAACAATCCCGCAGACGTGCTTGATTAAAAAGCTTATTATACGCGTTTAAGCATTGATAGGGCTGACTGAAGGTAATGGGAAAATAATCATTCGAAGAAGCACAAAGGTTACCGTGTCCTCCCAAAGGACTTTAACAAGACACGCTGCATAAAAGCTTTACCGCTGAAACAAAAACAACAAAATCTAATACACTTAAAATGTATGGGGAGCAACAAACCTTGAAGATGGGACAAAACTGTTGGGTACTTTTAATCTAATCTTATTATTTATTCTGCATTGGTTCTAACAAGCATTCACTTTTATTTGAATGTATAAACATCAATCTTTAAGGAGTAGTTTGAATGGTTTGCTTATGGCCTCTTTGCTCTGATTCAATCAAGTTCTTTATCTCTTTGTTGTAATCACAATTGTCTTTCTTTTTTTACCAAATGTACTTGAGTAAGATTTAAAGGCGTGCTGCATTAAAAGTGCTCCAGGAGGCACAATTTCCTGAGTAACAATGTAACTGAGTTTCTGCGCTGGATAAGGAGCTTATTCACCTGTTTTCTTATATGTTGAGATATTCCTTTAATAACCTTAGTATTGTTTCCCAAGATGCATGAAACTGGGTGATTTATTCTTTTTTGGGGTCACCACAAATTACTTAATTTGTGAGTGGGTGAGATAAAAAGCACAGTGTTTGATTTGTAGGAGCCAATTGCTTTCCTAAAGAAAGTGATCGCTGAGTGAAACAGGAAGTACAGGTCTGCAGACACAGTGTCTGTTCGTCCCCCTGGATCAGAGCAGCTCTTGCTGTCCAGAGGAAAAACAAATGGATGGAGTGGTGAGCTTTCCTCCTCGAGCAGAAACAACAATGTGATATGAGAAACATTACAGCCTAAAGGTACAAAGTGGAATATATACAGCATATATATATATTTCATGGCTTGTGTTTTCTCGCCCTCACTCAGGTTGTTAGTGCTGATCATGTGAACAGTCATCCTGCAGGTACATCCATGCTGGTTCTGAATGTATGCAACTAAACCCTTCACAGTCCTGACTGATGATTGAGGAAGTGAGGTGGGCAGGAAATGAACTTAAGTCTGTACCTTCCTTAGTGACATTTAATACAAATATTAAGATAAATTGTTAAAAGGGCAGCCATGCTACTGAATATGATGAATATGAATTATTAGCCTGTGAAGCCAATGAGGGTGATCATGTATAACCTACATTGGTAAAAGGTCATTATGTCAGAAAATATAATTTTAATTAAGCTGTGTAAATGATTCATGGATGTGGAGGAATAGCTCACATTTGCAGAGTGGTGTTTTTTTTAATTTCCTCACGGTCTCTGTCTCCTGTGAGAGAGCAGATAGTCAGAGGGTGATTAAGAACAATGGAAACATTTTTCCTTTCCCTTATTAATACCGCCATTATCTGGTGCCACACTGACCACCAGGTCTCTGCATGCACAGCCAATTTAAAGTGACAGAATAGCCTTTTAAAACTAGTTTAATGTCCTGTACAGTAATACTTCAGTCTGAAGTGTGACCCGTCTGTAAAGCATTGCTGCGTGACCACAGAGTGATTTTAGTCCAAAGATTCATCTCACTTCTACAAAAAAAGGATGGATTGGGTTGGTTAAATGATATGCTGTATATTCTCAAAGCGAATGAAGGTGCTGCATCGCATCACTGGCCAACAGATGAATTCCCATCTAAAATAGTAAGACTGTCCTGGAAAGTGTGTAAATTAAACAAAACACTGATCGATAAAATCTCTGATGCAGAAAGGGAGACATTTATAAAACATTGAATTTTGAAATATAGAAGTACAAGAAGCTCATAAAGCCATCAGATTTATTTGAAAACTTCTTAAAACTGTGACTCATTGTTAAGGGCTTGTGGCTATTTTCATCATATCAAAGTTAATGATCCTTTCAGCTCTGTGGCTTCTTTGGTTTCCAGATTGAAAACCCTTCAAAAGCTCAACACACAATTCCTGCAATTATTATCAAGTGTTAGTTTTCGCCTCTGAAGGCATGTCAGATTCTTGTGATTTAGTTTGAAGCTTTTATTGGAGCTGTCATTTTGTTTGGTGCTATTACTTACATGTCATATTAATTGGAATAACTCATGTGCTCAGATATCATATTGCCTGCTGCATTTTCAAAACTACGGCAACAGCCAGGGTTGTATCTGTTAAAAGCACATCATGTATCCTTGCTCAACCTGTGCCTTTTCAATTACTGTTCACCAATATATCAGTTTAATGACCGTAGTAAAAAAGCATATTTACAGTCTAAATCCTCGGGGCTTCATTTGGACTTTCTTATGAGGAAAATATCAGCAAGCACTGCTGAGTTTTCAGTCGAATAGCATATTTCATTTTTGTGTGATACATTTTGGAAAATGTAAAACAATTATGAATGTTACACCTGTTAAGCAAGCACATGATACTGTTTTCTAAAGTTTAATAAGAAGATGTGAGTTTTTATGTCGGCAGTGTTTTACAAACATAATTCTATCTTGCTTCTACAAAACCCATGTGAATAACCCTAACTTATATAAGGAATTTAACCAACAGAAAGCTAAAGGCATTTCGGTTGTTAAAAAGAACCCACAAGTTAAAGTTTTACAGAAGTTCCAGACTTCTTATGACCAATGTTTGTATAATAACTCTATGCAGACTGAAGGTTTGGTGCGTATAAAAAACAAACCACAGAAAACCTTTCCATCAATACATAATACTCGCTGTTAGTGTTTCCCCCTGAAAGCTAAAATCCTCAAATACTTTAAAAGCGGGTGCTTTGTTTGAAATGTCACTGTCAGGCAATAGGATTGAAGCGTTCCTGTGGTACATGGAAAGGTCTTTAATTTATTTAGGATGTACTCAAATGGTCAGTAAATTATAGATGGAGTCAATTTGGGTTTTTCAATACCTATCTAAACTGAGCATTTCTGCACAGAGCCTGCTGGCGCTCAGCTCTGTGTCAGCCTCAATCTTTTAGAAATTCAATAGTTTTATGAAGGAGATGTCCGGTCCACAAGGCGCATGACGTGTGTGTTTGTGCTCTGCTCAGCTCCTGTGTGTGTGTGTGTGTGTGTGTGTGTGTGTGTGTGTGTGTGTGTGTGTGTGTGTGTGTGTGTGTGTGTGTGTGTGTGCGTGCGTGCGTGCGTGCGTGCGTGCGTGCGTGTGTGTGTGCGTGCGTGTGCGGCAGTGGCAGTGGCAGTGGACTAGTGCGTTGGTGTTCAGATCAGGGGAGCACAGGTTCAAACCCCACTGCAGTCAGCATGTCGTTGTGTCCCTGGGCAAGACACTTTCCCCCAAATTGCTCCTGTGGGGATTGCCCACAGTATTGAGTATGTAAATCGTTTTGGATAAAAGCGTCTAACAAGTAACATGTAATGTGAGTGTGTAGAGGTGTGTGTGGTTAAAACGAAGCAGCCTGCAGTCGCTCTTTAGCTGTTCTAATGTTCTAAAGGTAAACACAGTGAAGGCACAGCTCCACTTCCTACTTGGCGAACCGGTAACTTTCTCGTGCGCATGAGAACGTGGCCGTTTTTCAATGTCGAGTACACATGCTGCAGAGCCACTATTTCAAGCCAGGGACGGATTTCAAGCCAGGGGCGGCTCTCTAGAGCCTTGCCCCCCCAGCTGCCCCCCTAACTTTTGTTTCCCTAAAACTGTACTTGTAGAAACAAACCTACACTATTTCCACAAGCTTCTCAAACGAAACAAGCAGTACATTAATTAAAAGTGAATAATTTTAAATATCATATAGGCCCGTTAAAAACGTAGCTACGACCCTGCATTAAACTGCGGAGCGGCGTTCACACAGACCGCGGCTCACACAGCTGCAGAGAGGGAACAAGCTATCCCAGCACCTGAAGGTAGATCAGTTTCCCCTGGGAGCTGGGAGATCGATCACTTTATTTGCTAAACTATGCGGTACTATTAAATCCACGTAAATTACACATCAGAGCAATGAGGCCAGCTAAATTACACCACCATACATCCTTTACCGTCAAACTGGATCTAAACACAGCTGCCTGTGTGCGTTTGATACTTTCTTATGTTATATTTATTATATGCTACTTAGCTACATTGCCCTAACGTGTAAAGTTATACAAGCATTTGAACCAGTGCTTTTCACAAGTAGACTCTTGCAGGCCAGAGTAGCTGGAGTGATTCAACAACAACAAAAATACATATCTGAGAAGTGATCAGGACAAACAGAAAGAGGAAAAGGAAAAGAGAGATGAAGAGACCAGGAGGGTCAGAGCAGGAGGAAGCCAAGAGGAGATGAAGACATTAGTAAAGAAGAAGAAATGTATGTGAGGAATAAAGATTAAGTGTCAGAAAGAGAGGCAGAAGCGGGGATCAGGAGGCAGATGAGACTCCAGCTGGACCACATGGTATGTTTTTATTCTCCTTGCATATTCCACTACTAAGTATTGACACATATTGATTGAAATGTGTTGCTGCACAGGTCAACTTTTGCTCTCTTAAGAGATGGGTGATGTCATTTGTGTACTTAATTATAACTAAGAACCTTTACTGTACTTACAGTAAACAGAATTATAGGGTATCATGAGTACTTCCTGCTGTTTTATGCTATATTTTAGTTTGTTTGTCTGACCACCTTGTTTCTCTTGTGCATTAACACTTGTGTTAGGGCATGATTTAACAATAAATAGGTTAAACAGTATAAAATACCACGTACCATCCGCCCTCCCATGCCACCCTGGTATGACCTCTTGCCCCCCCTTTGCCACCCCATGTAACATTTTCTAGAAACGCCACTGAGTATCCCTAATTTTAAAGTGTAAAAGTATCTCCACAATTACACTGAACACAAGCAAAGGAAAGGTAAGCTTATAGGCTAGTCCAAATCACCAGTGCAGCTAGTTAACGATGCTAACTTC